CTGTCAAATAAATAAATAAAATCTTTAAAAAAATAAAATAAAATAAGCATAGATCCTTCCCAGTTGTCCACACCAGAAGCTTAAATTTCACTTCTACTCCTCAGTGAAAATTTAAGAAATGATCACTTTACCCTGTTCACTGCACGATCAAGAACCCTAACCAAACGGCTTCCTTCCTGAAGGCAGTTCTGGGCTGGGAATCCAGACCTGCATGCGACGTGGGGCTGTACTACTTAACGAGGACTCCGCAGAGTCATAACTTCCTAAATGATTCATACGAACAATAATATGAGGTTGAAGAAAAAGGAGATAAAAGCTCTCTTAACAATTCTCTCCTTACACTTCCCTTCCACATTCTCCTACTGAGCTCGGGGATAAGATGAGAACTGTTCCTTAGATTTTGACAGAAGGCTATTACTAAGTCATCCAAGGGACCCGTCAGACAGACAGTGCCCCTCTGAAAGCACCACGTGATCAGATGACGGTCCTCCCTGTCTCATCCCCAGCCCGGTTCAGTTCCTTTCTTCTAGGATCTTCCATGTATCCCTCACAATACAATGCGGGTCCCTGAGAGTAAGGAGGAACACTGCACAGTCTGAGAGGAAGGTTCTTCCGCGGGAGACACTGGGGAAGCAGTGGCAACTGAGCAGGGACCTAGACTGTGATCTCTTCACCGGGATCTGCCAATAATTAGCTATTCCTAACCCCTGCAGCATCCCAAGATGACCCCACATATATGCAAATATAAGAATATGCATTTTTTATTATCTACATTTCCTTTTAAATTCTTGAAATTTTAAAGCACAATTTAAATTTATACTTACATTCAAAGTGGGTTTTGATATGTAACTTCGCTCCATGTATCTTATTTCCTGTAATACAAATATTTGTAAAGTTATAATGTGAAAAATTTTAATCTACATCATTTTATACTTCTCAGTGGTAGGGTTTCAGTGAGTTCTTTCTGCTTCCTTATATTTTTATTTCCATGTTCTACACAGCATATATCATTTATAATCAGAAAAAATTTACTACTTTATACTATACTTTTCTGATTAGCTGTTCATTGCAAATGTTGTTTTAACTTCTGATACCTTTATAAACTTTAAATCTATAAGCCTTTAAGGATAAGCTTTGTATAAAATGCAGTTAAATCTTCTAAATTAATTTTTTTCTAAACTAATTTCAGAGTACCACACGAAAATGTCCTTATTGTTCAAAAAAATATTTTATTTAACTTAAACTTGCTCTTTCCTTCCTCCACTTCTAACAAATGGATCTCATTTATTTGAAGCAAACACACCTCATACAAATATGGTCTACCTTACCAAATAAGTTATTTTTTAAGAAAGAAATGAGTAAGTATCTTGCCCCTACATGTCCATTCTTTCCACACCATTCTTAGGAACAAATGCCAACAAGAACAAGGAGAGAAAGTGCTAGTTACAGTTCAGAGACCCGACTGATCTGAAACTGGACAGTTTGCAGGACAAAGAACAAAGAATAAATTTTTTTATCCTCTGAAGTCAGAGAGCATAATAAATACTCAAAAATGACAACTTATATTTAGAACCTAATCTTGTTGATAGTTGTAAATGGCCAATCGTACCTCAGAGCAATAAACAAGCCTACAAACATCTAAAAGCTAGCCTGACTTAATGCGAACACCCAGTGAAAGCTTTCGATTTATAATAGAGCACAGAAAGAAAGTAGATGTGACAAAGAGTGGTTATAAGCAGAGAGAAAACCACAATAACGTGTTCAGATGAGAACAGATACATGCAATCGGCAGCTTCAAGACAGAGTGTGTTACTAGGCTGTAGAACAGGATTTAAGAAAATCCTTTTTCCAATGTTAAGATGACAGAGTAAGTCACTTTTATGTAGAAAGTTCATATAATGGGGTGCCTGGGTGGCTCAGTTGGTTAAGCGACTGCCTTCGGCTCAGGTCATGATCCTGGAGTCCCGGGATCGAGTCCCGCATCAGGCTCCCTG